TAGTCAACCCCTCCCACGACCCCCTCTCTCTGTCCTGCTCAGTCCACCCCTCCCAGGACCCCCTACTTCTGTCCTTCTCAGTCAACCCCTCCCACGATCCCCTTCTCTCTGTCCTTCTCAGTTAACCCCTCGCAGGACTCCCTATTTCTGTCCTCATCAGTCAACCCCTCGCAGGACCCCCTCTCTCTGTCCTTCTCAGTCAACTCCTCCCAGGACCCTCTCTCTGTCCTTCTCAGTCAACTCCTCCCAGGACCCTCTCTCTGTCCTTCTCAGTCAACCCCTCCCAGGACCCCTCGCTCTGTCCTCATCAGTCAACCCCTCCCAGGACCCCCTCTCTCTGTCCTTCTCAGTCAAACCCTCCCAGGACCCCCTCTCTCTGTCCTCATCAGTCAACCCCTCCCAGGACCCCCTCTCTCTGTCCTTCTCAGTCAAACCCTCCCAGGACCCCCTCTCTCTGTCCTCATCAGTCAACCCCTCCCATGACCCCCTCTCCCTGCCCTCTCCAATCTCCCCCCCCTCTCTCTCTCTCTCTGTCCCCCTCTATCCCCACTCCTCATTCTAACCTCCTTTCCGATATCCCTGCTCTCTCTTCTCTTTCAACAGACTGACCTCATATTTGCTATAAATTCCCAACCCCACCCCTCCTCCCCTCTCTCTCCCTCTATCCTCGTAAATGTTGCACGGTCATTAAGCCTTTGTCAATCAATAACTTCTCCCTGTTTATTAGCGTGTAATGGACATGCAAACAGTATAATTTTATATCCCTAATAGACGAATTATATCATGAATTAATATGGCCACGTGTGTTTCCCTAGATGGTCGATTGCGTGACACAGAGGATTATAGTTACCAGGACCGCCATTGTACAGTCCTGGCCCAGAATCGCCAACCATGGACGCCTCATAACAACACCACATAAAGATGAACGTTATCGTGAACAACTGTGTAACCATCCGAAAACATTTATCAATTACATGCAATATTAGCGCTGTTGTATTACTAACAGTGCTAAAAATATAATTATGTTTCAAAGTAAATATCATATATGCGATGTCGTCAGGTTACCAAAAACCTTTCGAGTAATTCAGTCGAGAACGTCTTATTGAAACATAACACAAGCAGCTATTGTTTACAATACAATAATTTTCGATTATATTTAAATTTATTATTCGTGTATAAACGTTACTGAAGAGTTAATCAACCTTGCACACCTTATCGAAGCACTTTACAGTTGACAGTCGTCTAATGCTGGTATCATGTTCAACGACATAGTCGTCGCTTTTATCCGATCAAGTACACCTTTCGTCCATACAACGGATCCTGTGCAGGGTCTGGTGGGAATCGGACATGTCGGTTTGTCTGTGGAGGGATAGTTTGTCTGAATCAAACGCATGGACAATTATAATGAAACTTTAACGCTATTCAAACATCAATGCACAATTAAAGAGAGTTATGGCCCTTGGTTAACATTACCCCATACAAAACGTATCCTTAAAGCATTAAATAGACTGCAACCTTTTTAAAATATCTTACACTTTGTTCAAAAATTCGATATTTGTGATCTAACGTCAACGGCGTATTTAATTTATTAAAAATGTATCTCCTTTGATTTGACACTCCTGCAAATAAACGAGATTCACAAGTTGCATAAATTCCCGATACATACACCCATAATACGGCATTTAACAAAACCTCAAGACCATATATATTAAAAAAAATTGACGATTCCATATATGACACATATTAATGGTGTTCTGAAGTCGGACATGCTTGATGCTCGTCAGTATGTCTGATGTTGCCATTGCTGTTTAGATTGCTCTCGTTTAAGAACTTGACTTTGTATACCTGAATAAGATTTGCATGACGGGAGTCGTCGATGAAGCAGAAGACGTTTACTATTCCGGAACACCTGGTCTTATTTTACTTGAATTTGTTTTCAATAGTCTCCGTGTAAATCTTTCTTTTGTTAATATTTTGTCCTGGTTTCATCGAATTTGTTTTCGAATGCAGATTCTGGTGACATGTTGCTATTTGCTTTGTTGTTGTTGATAATTAAACCAGTGGAATTCATCTTTACGACTCCGATGAATGACAACACAAGTAAAACAATTCTGACGTCAATATCACTTCCATTTTCATTATTGGTCCAGAAAGATACAGTATGGTTTTTAGATGTTTTGTGTAACAAATAACCTTTCTGTATTTCAGCACTCTCTGGTCTACAACTAGCTAAAAGACAATCAAAGTGTCTGACTAAGACATTAGGTTGTAATAGTTAGTTGTGTAAGGTTTCGTCAAATTTCTTTAACTGAGTGAAGTTACCTAGAAGCCGTTAAAAGTTTTTATAGACGTTTGGTCTCATGATAAATGCCTTTTGGTTCTATAAAACCAAAAACAGACTCTGTGCAATGATTCACGTTTTGGTATTGTTCTGCTAAATGTTACATATTATTTGATGCTTGCCTGTACTTTATGTTTTTATCATAGAGGATTATTGCTATAGACGTAATATGATGTAGCCCCGACTTCCTGGAAATTACGTGGTTGTTTGTTTGTTTGTTTGTACGTTTGATTTTTTTTCTCTTGGAACAGAAGTAAGCCTGTGGTTTGGATAGAATATCTATCATAAATTGTATCTTATTTGGAAATGCCTTGAAGAATTTTGCATACTTTCATATCTATCCGTTTTCAAATCCTTTTTATCGACTTGTTTGATTGTTTAATTATCAATTTTTTTATTTGTTGGGTTTTACTGGCAGAGTTTGTATATCGGAAACAATAACTAAACCATGGAGATCTGTTGGTCCTGAATTTAGCAGACCTTTACAGAAATAAGCAAGCTGCTTATCAAAGAGCCACTGGAGCACACAGGTGCAACAATCGATTCGATCATCCCCACTAGTAGTGAACTAATTACACATTATTTACAGTAAGCCAGACCAATGTCTGGGTTCTTGTTTAAAGTTTTATCTTGGTTTGGTTCTAACACCTGTGCCCGAGTGGAGGAAGGTAACTTCCTGACAACACATTGTATATTTTAGTTTTTTAAAAAAAACAGCCAAAACGATACATCTAAATGAAAAATTAATCTTCATATATTAATTTTGTTTCTTTTCTCCATTTTCGTAGCGTTTTTTTTAACTAGTTATGTTTTACGTGCGACCGTGCCCACATTGACACAACGTAAAGCTTCTAAGACTTTATCTCTCATATGACCGTGGTTGTTGCATGGACGCGAAAACAATCCGTTCAAGCCAAGGTTAAGGTTTTGATCAGCACTGTATTATTTTCAACATGGTCTCCTTCCTGCTCCACACGCATGTTCTATATAGTTTAAAAGTTAGTGATACCCGATCGGTAGATCGTGGGATTAGATCGAGGGGAGGGGGTTGATTTTCTGATATCCCCTCGAAGCTCATGTTCCGTACGACTGAATCTAAAGTCAGAATAAAATTTGAAAACCAAGTACCACGATGACATATGTTAATTTAATACATGCTCGAAATCTCATTGCAAGCATGCATGCACAGAAAAATGACCATCGCCAAAACTCGTTCAAATTAATTGTTGACGTAAGTAAATTTTACGTTGTCAATTTTATCGTAAACTCAAAAAATTCCTTTATCTTCGTAACATGTACGGTGATTTGACATCAATGTCCACGGATGATGGCGCCACTTACGGTCGCTTTTACAGCGTTATCACACTGAAATGTCTCTACCTGGACACTGTAGCACAACATGCCACCCTATCACATAATACTGACTACATGGACACATCTGAAGTGCAAGGCAACGCCCTCCAACTCTGTAGTGACTACAGGGACACTTTTATAGCTTCAGTCTACTGAAATGTCATCACCTAGACATTGTAGCACAACACCATGCAATACTACAGTGACTACAAGGACATTTTTATAGTGTCATCCCTCTGAAATGTCAAAACATGGATACTGTCACACATCACAACACCCCGCAACACCAAAGTCACTTCAGGGACACTTTTATATAGCCAACACACTAAAATGTTAGAATCTTGATACTGTTCTACAACATCCCACTTTGTCACATTGTACTGACTACATGGAAACATCTTTAGTGTTGTCACACTGAAATGCCATAACCTAGACACGATCTTACCAGTGTTTACTGTTATCGACATTGTCAGTCAGCCTGAAGTTTAATCGAGAACTTTCAGTCTCCTTCGCTTGAGCAGACATTTAACACTACAGATAAAAGTGAGGTACTGTTATTTGAAGGATTAGGACAATAAAAGATAAAAAGCAGATATGATCTGAAATTCAGTTACAAATCAATGTGATTATGATAAATATTAGTATATAATATACAAGGGTTATGGGCTATGACGTCATTACGCAACTTCACACTGCAGGAGTCAACTTTCCGATATTTAACGACTGTCAGGCACTATAAATCTCAAAGCCAACTATGCCTGTTAAGTCACACTTAATCAAAATGGTCGAATAAAATACGTATTATTCCTTATTAAAGACATGTAAAACTTTTGTGTCCGGACATCGGACCGTACAACTCACGGATCAGAAACTTGAATCTTGGTCGGATGTTGACCGCGCGCCAATTATCGCTGACTGGTTCCTGTTGGACGAGAGAGATCCTGTGTTATTTGCCCTGGATCAATACCCTCTATAACAAGGCGGTAGACATGCTTTGCCGCTAAACTACTTGTTGGCGCTACGTATGGGCTTCCCCAGCGCGCGGCTCTCTGGAATGGTACCGATCATTTTTGTATGGGCAAACTTTTACAAAACTTGGTAGAGATGTCCGCATGATAAAAGTCGACATTTTACACAGTGTCTATTCGTTTTAAAAACTGTCTAACTCTATGTAACTGAGTGGTGAATAACGATTTTCCCGTGACGTGTTTCTAACAGGATAAGTAAATATTTTTGGTGCCAGATTTGAAATAAATTAAGACAAACGTATTCTAAAGTGCTGTCAGAAAAACGTTAAAAGAATCGTTGTTTGGAAACAATCAGTTTATGTCTATCGAGAATTTTGATTAATTGCCTATGTAATCAATAGTACCTGTTTACCTGAACAGGTGAGAAAGTGGTTTAATAAAAATTGTATTGATCACAAGAGATCTACATGGACGTATATTGTTGTTGTAACATTCAGAAATGTGTGCTTTATATACCAAATGTGCTATGTTTTGAGATCTAACCAATGTGCTTTTGTAATCCTACGTGGACCAGTGTTACAAAGAGCTGGCGTAACTCTACATACTTGGAATACTGACTGACTGTTAACAGCACGAGCCTCACCACGTGGCTGTTGGTGTGTAGAACACCACAGTTGTAAGATAGCTACCTGCAACCCATTGTTTTGTTACCTGTAACCTATTGTTTTCCTGTCTGTAACCATTGTTTCGGAGCTTTACTTTAGATGTGCTGCAGATGAAAATGAGGTAAGGCGACATATTTTTGAGGCCTAATATTTTCTGTTTCAAGAGAATCTTAACTTTCAATTATCAAAAACATGGAAGTAGCAATAATTCAAATATTTGTTAAGAAATAACATGTTATTTCGTATTTAAAACCTTAATTTTCATAGCGATTTTTTCACACGTATTCTTCTTCTGTCACTTCCTTTTAAGACAATACGGTGTTTCGTAAATTCTAGCACTGGGCATATTCTTTATCAAATTAATTTTAACATAGATATGTATAGTAAACATAAGTAGATTAACCGCGTTATAATAGATATTTATGATATACTAAGATGTTTCGATATAACGTTCCTACATCCAATAAAAAATGCATTGTCGTTTGTATATAACCACGATATAATGTGCCTCGTTTATATATAGTAAAACCTTGATAAGATATCCCTCGTTTATATACTGTAAAACCTCGATATTATGTCCTTCGTTTAAATACAGTAAAACTCGATATAATGTCCTCGTTTATAAACAGTAAAACCTCGATATAATGTCCCTAGTTTATATACTGTAAAACCTCGATATTATGTCCTTCGTTTATATACAGTAAAACTCTATATAATGTCCCTTGTTTACATACAACCAAACCTTGATAGAATGTCCCTTGTTTACATACAACCAAACCTTGATATAACGCCATTTGTTTGTAAACAGTAAAACCTCTGTATAATGCCCAAAATTTATATACAGTAAAACCTAGAAAAATGACAAAAATATTTTTTCACATTCTGCGTCTTTATAAAGAAGATTTTGTATATACAGTAAACCCTCCATTTAATATCTTTTTTTTTACAACAAACCTTGATATAACGACATTCGATTATGTACAGTTAACGCAAACAACCGTTTCAATTGAAGTATCATTAGTTTGACCAACGAGGGTTCCCGGTGTTCGTCACGTGGTTATTGTACAATTTCAAATATTCGTAATATGAATCGATTGTTCCCTTTCAGATAAAAACATAATGTTCAGAAAATATGGGGTAGAATTTATTTCGAAAAAAATGTAGTCCAAAACTTTTCGCGCTACTGAGCTAAAGCAGTGTAGCATTCTGTAAGTATGGAATTAATTACACTCGACCTTTACAAAGTCGTTTAATGGTGGAAGTGTGACGTTTATTGACTATGTAGAACGGCTGAGAAAGTATATACATAGTGTATGTTCGTGTCTGAATGGAACTCCAGAACACGCGAGTAACTTCGATTTACTTACAAGGTTCTTAACGTAGATATACTGGAGAAAGGCTGTTAGATCTGTAGTAAGTATCATTCGTTCATTGATGTATGACTGACGTACACAGAAACCTCAACAGTTCATATACATCTTTTCCTTATCTTGGAACATTTAATTCTGATGGATCCACGAACCCGATCAATACCCCTGTTTTGATTCTCACCGCAAATTGATTTTACTAAATTGTTAATCAGAAACAATCGTGTGATATAATGACGTTTAATTAACGAGGTTCCTGTTTTAAAGAAATAAGTAAGAATTCTTCTTGCATTACATTTTTTATGAGGTTAAGCTAACAAATATCTAGCAAAGCTATGTTAGCTTGAGCAATCATAAACAAAAGACTGGATTCACTGTATTTCTCTCAATAAAATTGGAATTTTCAGCACTTCATGCTTTATAAAATCTTCGCTTTCAAATACCACGAGAATGTTGATTAATCTTATGAAAAGATGTGGTCAAGAAAAAGATTAGGGTTTTTGTACAGCTTTCATCTCGGTGCAAACTGCTCTTTAACATGTTCTTTCATATCAAACATTCAAGAGAACAAGTTGCGTGTTCTATATATTTTTGTTTTTTATGTGGCGATCAATTACAAAACGTATTCTTTTAAAACATCTTAACCATCTAAACACCACCCCACCCCCTGTCCCCCTACCCCCTGCCCCCTGCCCCTATCCCCCTACCCTTATTATCATATCCTTTGGAAAAGAAACATGTATTTTATTCCAAACACACAATTATGGTCATATGAGGAAAACATTGACAACGGAACAACTCAAAACATCAATCATACTGATTCTGTCTAAATACTGTTTACGTGGAATGTTTCATTTTCCACCCGACGGGCGAATTTGAGATTTGAAATTACCCTTTAATGAAATTTTCAGTGGGCAGAATTGACATGAGATGAATTCGTGAATAATTGTACAAGGGCGAAAATATCCCCGGGGTAAAATATCCCCGGGTTAAGATATTCTGGGGTTAAAATAATCCGGTACACAATGTGTGATTTCGATAACAGAATACCTGCTGGAGAGAGAATGCACAAAAACCTGCCAAATAAAACAGATCTCGGTTTCTTTGTTCCCTGCTAAATTTTGTAAATTACGCCTGGAGCTCTCTGAAACTGTGTAACCAGTTAAAAAAGTGGAAGAGGGAGCGAGGGCAAACACTGTACTTTAAAAACAGAATTCTTATATTGACGTGCTGGCCCTGATTCTCAGATATTTTTGCTTTTTTGTAAAACAATCACTACTTTAGTATTAACGATATAATTTTGGTGACGTCATCATTGAAACAACGTGGGAAAAAACACACACAAAAAAAAGAGGAAAGAAAAAGACCTCCTTCCCGATATAAATATTAAGGAAAGAAATTAATGAAAGTTTAATATACTTTATATATTCTCCATCTTCTGGAACTTGTGGTGTACAAAAAGAAGAGTCCTGGTCAGTCAGAGGTCAGAGTATGATCTCCAACATTGATCTGCTGTTTCAACTTTCGGCCATTACGGTCGTTAAGTCCTTTTATGACATTAGCCATTATTCGCCGTCTCCTTAGACACATCTGGTTAGCCTTCAGGATGATGTGACCGCGTGAAATCTGTCTTTGCCCTGTCCATTTTTTAGGGTGATGACAATTTAAAAGCCAAATTAGCAGTGAAGGCTGTCATCGTATGATTGCAGCTATTTTAGAGACATCAATCTCTCGTTATTTCCTCGCAGAAGTGTCTCAGTCTATTGGAAAAACTAAACTCTATATATGTAACTCGTGTATATCATACTGTCTTCTGAGTACACAGAAACCTTTATATAATGTCCTCTGAGTATATGGAAGTCTCGATATAATGTCCCTTGAGTATATGGAAGTCTCGAAATAATGTCCTCGGAGTATATAGAAGTCTCGAAATAATGTCCCTTGAGTATATGGAAGTCTCGATATAATGTCCTCTGAGTATATGGAAGTCTCGATATAATGTCCCTTGAGTATATGGAAGTCTCGATATAATGTCCCTTGAGTATATGGAAGTCTCGATATAATGTCCCTTGAGTATATGGAAGTCTCGAAATAATGTCCTCGGAGTATATAGAAGTCTCGATATAATGTCCTCGGAGTATATAGAAGTCTCGATATAATGTCCTCTGAGTATATAGAAGTCTCGATATAATGTCCTCTGAGTATATGGAAGTCTCGATATAATGTCCCTTGAGTATATGGAAGTCTCGATATAATGTCCTCGGAGTATATAGAAGTCTCGATATAATGTCCTCTGAGTATATGGAAGTCTCGAAATAATGTCCCCTGAGTATATGGAAGTCTCGATATAATGTCCTCTTGAGTATATGGAAGTCTCGATATAATGTCCTCTGAGTATATGGAAACCTCGATATAATGTCCTCTGAGTATATGGAAATCTCGATATAATGTCCTCTGAGTATATGGAAGTCTCGATATAATGTCCTCTGAGTATATGGAAGTCTAGATATAATGTCCTCTGAGTATATGGAAGTCTCGATATAATGTCCTCTGAGTATATGGAAGTCTCGATATAATGTCCTCTGAGTATATGGAAGTCTCGATATAATGTCCTCTGAGTATATGGAAGTCTCGATATAATGTCCTCTGAGCACTCGGAAACCTCGATATAATGTCCTCTGAGTATATGGAAGTCTTGATATGATGTCCTCTGAGTATATGGAAGTCTCGATATAATGTCCTTTGAGTACTCGGAAGCCTCGATATAATGTCCTCTGAGTATATGGAAGTCTCGATATAATGTCCTCTGAGTATATGGAAGTCTTGATATAATGTCCCCTGAGTATATGGAAGTCTCGATATAATGTCCTCTGAGTACTCGGAAACCTCGATATAATGTCCACTGAGGACATGGAAACCTAGATATAATGTCCTCCGAGTACATCGAGACTTCGATCCATTAATACCGCGATGCACTGCCCGCGTTTTTTTTTTTCTAAAATAAAACTTGGATATTAATTTATCCTTAGTTTTCCTTTAACGAGACGTCAAATATGTCTATAGATAATGACAATATGTCGAAGATTTACTGGACTCTAGACGATACAAATGTTTACAGTAGTCAACTACGTTCTTTATTTTATTTTTGAGAAAAATACGAGAAACAGATAATTTCTGCCCTGGCCTAATCATCATGCCTTACAGAATGTAAGCGATGATTGATGAAGACACTACGCTGTCCAAAAAACAACACTCAGTAAAGTCAGTGTTCACTCTTTTCAGAATCTTGTATCTTCCAGGTTTTTTGCTTATTTTAGTTTTTACCTACAACACGTAACAACATATGTACACAGTTTTCGTGTTGTTTTTATCAACTGAACTAACGAGTGTACATATATCGCTAATCCGTACACTGACAATCACTTCATAGCTTAAGTTTTTTGTTAATCCGTGAAAGTATGTATCTAATTATTTAATCATCATGTACGGATTAATGAGATCTCATGCTACACACCCACGAAACTGTGCAGATTAGCAGTGTTCCTTACAGTATATAAAACAGTATTCAAACTAACACGGCTATAATGGACTCAAAAACCTAAATGTTCGGACTTACTTTATGACATAGGGAACAAACATCTAAACGAACTCATTCGATACTGCAAACACTAAAATGAAGATCTACCAGATCGAACTATTTGGACCAACGAAACGAAATCTCAGGGACCTAAACGCGTTATGCGAAATTCAGTAT